TGGATGGGTTACTTAGAGGAGCGAGGGAGCGGGTAATGCGGCGGCGGAAGGTAGGCCTTCCTATTTGGTTGGGGTTTTGGAAGCAGCTCTTCCCCCTCTCCCCCTCTTTCCCCCTCTCCCCCTCGTCCCCTCCCTCTCCCCCCTTCTCCCCACCACCTTAGCCAGCGTAGCACATCTTGGCAGTATCCAGAGCTGTAGCACCAGTAGCAGATTGGCATAGTAACAGAAGTCGTACTGATGGTGCGAGAAAAGGGCAGGTTAAGGGCACGTCGGGGGGAAGAGATGGGTTTGAAAAATGTACACATATGTGAGTATATCATTACATCAGTGTACAATGTCACAACACATCACACAAATATATAATAGAAACATGTAAAACGTTATCCGTGTCCTCTGCACTTCCCCTTTTTCAGTCCTTGCTAGTAATCTACTGTCAGCCTCCAACGGCGGTTTGCGCCACCTGGCCCCGCCCCCCTCCTTCAAGCCCCCTCCGCCGCCCCCCAACTGCCACCACTCCCGGCACCAAATTGCCATATTGCCCCAGGCCAGGCATTTCCCCCACATCGGCCCCGCTTCGCTGCGACACATGGAATACGTTTGAACTCTCTCTCTCTCTCTATCTCTCACACACAGACACACACAGACACACACAGACACACACACAGACACACAGACACAGACACACAGACACACACACACAGACACGCGTACACCCCAAGTGCCATACCAGGTAGTAATGCCAGCGGCGGGAGAAGTACAGCGCCCATCTCGCTGCCATCAGTACGGTACCCAGGCCGCCGTACAGCAGGTAGAAGGTGGAGGGGGAGCGACCCAGCCAGAAAGCACACGCCCTTGGATCCGAGGTGTTGGTTGAGGGATGTATGTGTGGGTGTGTGTTGGGGGGGGGGGGAAGGCACGGAGGAGGGAATGGGCAGACGGATCAACGGAGAGAAATCTGAAATTGTCCTCCTGTTTCGCCCTGTCTCATTCCGTTTCGTCTCTGACCTAAAGGCCCCTGTTACCCTCCTCCTCCCCCCCTCCCCCCCCCTCCCCCCCCCCTCCTCCCCCCCCCTTCCTCCCCCCCCCCTCACCACATCATGGTCGTCCCCAGCAGGAAGGACAACTTGTCCCGCAACAGCAGCCCCCGAGGACCCAACACCCGGCGGAACAGCCGCAGCCGCATCAGACGGGTCACGAACTGAGGACAGCAGCAGCACCAACAACAACAACAGCAACACAGCGATGGCAGCAGGAGGGGCAGCAGCAGTAGCAGCAGCAGTAGCAGCACACGGCGGCAACACAGGCGGAGGCGGAGGTAGCTGCAGCCTAAACTCTTATATGTGGCGTTATTGAACCCCAAAACAACGGCATACATACATACATACACACAGGCACACACACCATGTCGAACCGTGCCGGAATCGAGCCGCCTCCCGGTCGCGTCATACGAGTGTCTGCGGATTAGGTCCTGGGTTCGATTCCCGGGGAGACCCCCGACATTGTTGGGAGCGTGAGATTATGGCTAGCTGCTGAGATGTGGAGTTGAGGTCGCAGTTGATGGACCAGATACGCACGCTAGATTGGAGGCGATTGCCGAACCCTCTGTCTCTGCGGATGTTTGGGTGAATGGATGAGGAGGGATCCCAGAAGGCGCCTTGGACTTCCAGTTCGTATTGCGTAGAATAGTGTGGTAGTGGTGGTGGATGGTGCTGCGTGACGAGGAATCGTGGAAATGACAGTGTGTTCAATTGGCCCAATAGCTTTCCACACTGTAACAATTCAATTCAATAACTGTAGGTAGCCTCGACAAAGTATCTGCGTACAGGAGACTCCGGAGCCTCCCAACTGATTTAACTGGAACTAACAAACCGACAGAAAAGTAGAAGGTTTTCAGGGCGTGGTGTTGTCAACAGTAGATCGTGACCTAGAGATCAACCGAGAGATCCGGATCCGGATCTATTCAACCCAGATCAGGACCTGGCCAACCTTGATTAACAAAAGAGTCTTGCAGCGCAAAGGATGCCCGCTGAAACGCAAATTTGATAGTCCTGTACATATCTAGAGCTCATTTTTACATTTCTATCTGAATCATTAACCTGTAATGCGTGACTCTCAATCGTCGTACAATAGTCATTCATTCAGCTGTCGTATACATAGCCTACCTGGCGGCGCTTGAGGGGTGTGGCCTGGGCCTCCTTCCGCTGTTCCTGCCGGTGGTCGGGGTAACGGGGGTTCTCAAAAAGGGGGAAAAACGAACCACAAGACGAACGAGTGAAGCTGCTGCTGAATGGGGGGAAGGGGGTCTCTCCTCTTTCTCTCCCTCCCTCCCTTCCTCCCTCCTTTCCTCCCTCGACCCCCACTCGCTCTCCCTCTGCCTCTCTTCCCTACACATACATACATACACACACGCAAACACACGGCGGCACCTGCAGGTCATGGAGCTGTCGGGGGAGGTCGTGGAGGCCGCCGTGCATGTCAACCATGGCCTCAGCGAGGACTGCGGGGCGACCACCTACACGCATACATACATACATACGTACATCCGGGTTAGGTACCCTTTGGGTTGCGGGAATACCCTGGAGCAATATCTGTAACCTTTCCTGCGTGGAAGCGTTTGAGGGACATGTAATTTACTGACCATAAGGACATAAAGGGGGGGTTACGTTGACCGACAGACATCTGTGCGGACAGACAGACAGACATACACTTGGACTCTTGGCGCTGATCCTGGCAAGGCAAGACTCCACAAAGATGCAGTGACGGAATGGTGGTGCGCGCGCGACATGAAAACCGTTGGACACCCGTGTCGCACTTCTTGTGCCGTGGCTTCCGTACGCCCAACCCACATAACTGCCTTCTTCGTATCCATCCATGGTGGTTTCCTCCTGTACCCGTACCTGCAGACACGCTCAGGCAAGCAAGTAAGGCATCCACACCCCGCTGTTCAGCTTCGTTAGCCGCTGCTGCCGCCGCCGCCGTTGCGGCGGCAGCGGCGCCGCCCCCGCCTCCGCGACCAGCGCTGCTGGGCTTCCGTACAGGTAACCACTCCATGCCGTCGCCGCCTTCCGTGCTCTTCGCTTCCGCCTCCTCCGCCTCCGCTGCCGCTGCCGCCGCCTCCGCATCCTCCACCACTCCAGGGACGGCACCGCCGGCGGAGGCGAAGGAATCACGAGCGTCAATCAGGCCCAAGCCGAATTCCAGATCCAGACGAAGGTCCGAGAGATCAGAATCCAAACCCAGCTCTAACGCATCGTCGTACTCCTCCTCGTCCTCCTCAGCGTCCTCCCCCGCCGCCGCCGGCCTGTCTGCGGCGTTACTCCCCAACGGAACGCCTTCATCTCCGTCTCCGCCAGTGCCACCTCCGTCACAGTCGCCGCCGCCGCGGCGCCGACGCAACAATCCCCCTCCGGCGGCTTTCATCGCCGTTGCCGCCGCTGCCTCTTTGGGTTCTTCAACGCTACCGCACAGGCTTTTGCTGCGACGCCTGCCGCCGCTGCCGCTGCCGCTGCCGCTGCCGTCGCCGTCGCCACCCACCAATAGATTGCCTTCGCACCCGGAGCTGCCAGGCCAGCGGCAGAGCACCACACCGTCACACGTGGCACGCCGCTTGGGCGTGGCAGTGGCGTCCGTGGCAGTTGAGGCGGTAGTTGGGGTGGGGGTGGTTGCGGCGGTTGCGGCGGCGGCAATACGGTTGGCTGGCGGCGGCGGTGGCGCACCGCAGTCACCCTCTGAATCGGGATGGGGGCAAGGTTGCAGTACGACTGGCTGCGGTATGGATCCCTCCTCCATAGACGCGACGTCGCCGGCCGACGCCGTCCCGGAGGCTGCGGCTTCGGCGGTGGCGCTGCGGTTAGCGACATCGGCGGCTGCACTGGCGGGCTCGTCCGCGCGCCCAGCCGTTGCACGGCAGGTATTGGCGGTGGACTCCGGGGCCCCCTCCTCCGTCGCCGCCGCGGCAGACCCAGGTGTACCTCCAGCGCGTGACTCATGGAGAGGACGTCCCCCTGCCGCGTCGTCCTCCTCCTCCTCCCCCTGCTGCTGCTGCTGCTGCTGCTGCTGCTGCAACTGCGGCGGTGGTGGTTGTTGTGAGAAGGGCGGTGGATGCGGTGGCTGATGTGCCTGGTCCTTCATAGCTGCTGCTGTTGGTGCTGCGGGTGGTGCTGCCGAAGCTGTTGTATCAGAATCCGTTGGGACGATGGGCTGCGATGGTGGGTCCGGGTTCGGATCGGGGACCGTTGGTGGGCGCCTTGCGACCAGGAGGTCCCCGCCCGGGTCTGGGAGCGCTGGAGATGGACCAGCAGCAGGTCTGGCGGTGTTCCGCGGACGATAAGGACAAGGCGTCTGGCAGGTCAATTCGCTTGGCTGATAATCGTTTCCGACAGTTGCCGGTGAGCCGTCCAGCGTTTGTGCTTTCTGGTGCGGCTGCTGATAACGATGCTGAAAGCCATGAGCACACTCTTGTTGGAGTTGCTGCTGTGGTTGCTGCTCGATCTGATGTTGCTGTTGGTATTCTTTTTCACGTTGCTTGTGTTGTTCGCGATGTTTTTCATCCTCAGTCTGACAGCCGGACAGCTTTCCACTCCGAATCTGGTCTTGATGTTGATGCCCTTTCCCGCTCGCACCGTCCCTAGCCCGTACTGGAGAAGTTGTCAGCGGCGAGGTCGCGCTCTGCCTTGGCGAGCTGGGGTAGCTATCGTGAGGTGATGCGTTTTCGCGGTCCGGGGCGCCCCTAGGGGGCGCCAGCCCGCCGCCTTCAGAAATGGCGGGTGCGCTTGAGACCATTTCTGAACGAGCGGAGGAGGAAGGGAGCGAGCAGCTTGGACCAGCTGGTGATCTGGAAGCGGCCCAGCCAGGAATGGGGTGTTCGGGGGGTTGTTCCTCTATTCCGCGCCAAAATTTGAAAGCTTGGGCTCGGGCTTCTTTTCCTGTCAGTTTGGTGATTTAGCTTGGGGTTCTGTAGAGAAGTGACTACTCACATCATCCGTTTAGGATAATAGCAAGAACCTTTACTTATCTGTTACTGGGGGAACTCGCTGCAGACGTGGCCCAACGTCCGTGACGGCAGAAGTCACAGCCTCTCGTAACGTAATTCCCTTTATCAAAACGATGGACCACATAAATCATTGATTTTGCTGCCGAAATCAACAGTTCTAGATGCAGGCCCGCAAAGTCAGAAGCCTCGCGATTCTCTGCCTCATTCCGGCGTTGACCACCGCGAAACTATCCGCGAAACCAACCAGGACTTTTTCAATCCACAGAGTTCTGCAAATTACTTCCCTTATCCCTCTGCTGTCCATCCATCCGATACCTTCAAAAAATGGATAAGCCGCCTCCTGGCTACCCAAAGGCAAGTAAAGCCACCACGCCAGACAGCAAATACATGCCCCGGATCTGGAAGATTTTCCACAAACCGTCAAACCCCTTGGGACCCAGCAAACCCTTGGGACCCCGCTGGTGATAGGGTGATGGGTACCTTGCGTTAAAACAGCCTCAAGCGTGAAAGGGGTTGTAGTAATGTCGTGTCAAGCTGGAATGCGGGGTCCCTTGCGACCCGTGGGTCGAGGGGGGATTCGAAGCTGGTATCCATCCAAAGTAACCCTTCTGCAGACAGATTTCTCTTCCTCGTAGGATCCCCGTGTAACTCGGCCGGGAATAACAACTTGAAGTGGTTTTCACGGACTTAAATCCAAAATCCATGCATACATATACACATGACATGGCCGTGTGCTGTGCGTATCGCACCACTACTGGCTGCCGGCATGCACGTATTTCAAGGCGGATGCGTCCTGAGGCGTTCTGCTGCCCCCTCCAAGACTGCTAACGGTCCCCCTTCGCACAACCTTATCTCCTCTCCAGCCCCAAGCTTGACGCCTAAAAGAGCTGCTGCTGCTGCTGCTGCTGCTGCTGCTTCTACGAGCGGATATAAACCCCCTAACTTCTTAACCCCTTTTCCCCCCAGTGGCCTTCTCCCGCCTTCACACTCTCACCCTCAAACCACACATACATACACATATGCGCTCCACAGGTCGCGGACCCCGAAGCCGACGCGTCCTCCTCCATACCCACCCCAGCTCCGGCCGCTTACCCGGGGGGACCCGGCGCTTACCCTGCCGTACCCCCTGCCGTACCGTACGGCGCACCAATTCCACCGGGTATGACACCGCAGGGACAGCCGTACACACCGCAGCAAGAGCCGCCCTACCGACCTCCTGCAGTTGGTATTCCCGTACTCGGCAGCGGCGCCTCCTACCTGTACCAGCACCCCGTTTGGGGCTCAGATGACGACACGCGGGATGGGCGGTTCGCGTGCTGCGGCTGGAGCATGTTCGTGCTGGGTAGGTGGGTGAGTGGGAGGGGGGTTGTGAGGTAGAGGGGGGGGGGGGGGGGCCCCGCCAGGGGATTTGGGGGGGCGGAAGGGGAGGGGGAAAAGAGTGGTGGAGGGCGTGGGTCTGGGTGGCTGGAGGGTTGTTAGGAGGCAGCTCGAGGGGAGTCCGCCGAGCTTCACCGACCGACCGACACAGTGCTTTCCCAGGCTCCGTATGCCGCCTCCCGGTTCTTAGTGAGCTGTAAGCAAGGTCATCACCTGACACGGTAAGGCACACACACATCTCGTTACAGTCCCCCCCTGCACCTCTCCACCCCTCCTAAAACCCCCAAGTGCACACAACCACACACACACACAACCCCCACACACACACCTACAAAAACAAACACCCACCCCACAAAAACAAGCATCCACCCCCCTCCACACACACACGCGATCTCTACGCCAGCTCAGCTCCAACCAGTGCTAAACCCACACACCCCTCCTCCTCAACCCTACCCCCCTCCCTGTCCGAAACATCCGACCTGCCCACAGGTTTCATCGCGCCCTTCTTCTGGCTCATCTCCGTGCTGCTGCCGTGCTGCCTGCCCGGCTCCCAGGTCCAGCGAGCTGCTACTGCCAGTCTCATTGCGGCCATTTTGTATGCCGTACTGGCCATTACACTGGCACCCGCACTCACCGTCAGGAACGCATGAACAGAGTGTGTGCAGTATGTATGTATGTATGTTGTATGTATATATGTGTCAAGCCGAGGATGGCGGGGAGTGTGAGGGCGGAAGGTGAGCGGCCGAGGAGGAAGATGGCTCCCTCCATGTGGGTGGGTGGTGTACACCGTCAGCTAGTTCTGACGAGGAAGCGAGTGTGGACGGGCGAGCTAGCAAGGGAGGCAGAGGCGGCGACATGCGACATGCGTGTTGCTGTGACAATACGGATGGCAACGGTACAACGGTATCAAAGGGACCCCTCCCCGACCCCCCTGGAGTCCTCTGTCGGCTGGAACCCCTGCTGGGTTTCAGCACCGGTTGTCCAGTTGATTCATTAGTCGACCTGTGGGTTTTGTCGGATGATAAGTTCGTTAGTTGGTTAGCTTCATGGACTTGATCTATGGAGGACCCGCCGGGCTGTAGGAGGAGAGCAAACATGGGCAAGCAGGGCTGAGACGATTAGGAAATTAATACGAGCGTGGACGACAAAGGTAGCAGGGATAAGTACATGCTGCAGATCAATGGATCAGGAAGACGCATTGAAAGCACAGAAAGCGCAGTGCCGGGTTATAGCTTCTAGTCCCGGTGAACATCATGCAACACAGACGTGTTGTGATGACAAGCTCACCACTTAGGGCCTTGTGGCAGATGTTGCAGATGAAGATGCGCTCTGCAGCACCGTCGCCGACCAGCATAGTGCGGTTGGGCAGGTCCACTTCTAGACGCATGCAGTACGGCACATGTACGGCATAGCATATCATATCATAGCATAGCGCTTACGGCATAGCATAGCATAGCGCGTACGGCATAGCATAGCGCGTACGGCATAGCATAGTGCAGCATATCATATCATAGCATAGCATAGCGCAGCATAGCATAGCGTAGCGCAGCATAGCATAGCGTAGCGCAGCATAGCATAGTATAGCGCATACGGCATAGCACAGCATAGCATAGCTCGTACTTTCGCCATAGCATAGCATAGCGCGTACGGCATAGCATAGCGCGTACGGCATAGCATAGCGCAGCATAGCACAGCATAGCATAGCGTAGCACAGCATAGCATAGCGTAGCGCAGCATAGTAGCTACAGCGCGTACGGCGCATACGTCATAGCGCGTACGGCACGTACGGCACGTACACGCTGAACTTCGGCTTCGCTGGAATTTGCGTGCCAGGCTTTGCGAGAATAATTCTGTTCCGAGTTTGCACGTTCAACTGGGCGTGTTCGACTTTCCTTTGTGCACACCTCAAACTTTGCACGTCGACCTGTGTTGCATCCCCAACTTTGCACGCTAAACTTTGCGTGCTGAGCGTTGCATATTTGATCTTGTGCCACATTAACCTTCACGCGTTGAACTTTGCGTGTTAAATTCTGTTGTGTATACAGCTTCGCACGTTGAACTTTCTGTGCTTAATTGTAGCTTAGATGCGGCAGGAGCAAAGCGAGTATAGCCTCTAAGCTAGGTTATGTACGGCAGCCGTATGGCTTGCTGAGAATTCGAATTTACTATTTCAGCTGACAGCTCCATAGTTCCGGCATTCTGCCTACACTATTGGAGCTTATTATTATTGTTGCTCTCACTTTTATCCAAGACCTTACCGACTACCCTCAAGCCTCATCGACGCTCTACCACAACGAATCGACATCGCCGCGGACCTGTCACTCTCCGAGGAACAACCAGGAGCTCCGTCACAAAAAATCAAAAAATGACGGGTAAGAGGACAAAGGCAACGGGAGATAACCTGGTCAACGCAGGAGCGGCCGAAGCAGCCGGCGAAGGGGGATCGGGCCAGATGCTGCCAGCCAACCAAAACGACATAGAAGCCGCCATCGATACTTTGAGCGGGAACATAGACCAGCCGACTCTTCACCAGCTGCTGCTGGGCGTCCTGTCAGCAGCGCAGGCCAACGCGCCAAAAGCGCCAGCCAGGGATCCCCGGACAGCACCGCCTCGGGATCGCTCTCCTGACGTTGTCATCACAAAAGACGTGACCATCATGCCATCCGCAAGAGAACAGCTAGCAGCAATAAGGACGGAAGTTCAAGCAAATGACGCACCGAAGCTGACAGCCCCACACGAGCAGCGGGAGCAGCTCGA